GAACAGCAGCTAAGCCGTTGTACTCTTAAGCCTAATGTGGAAGTTTTATATGCAAAGAGGTGAAGCGGGAGGCGGGTGGAGGGAGGAGGATGGAGTTTGAACTGATTAGGATAATTCCTGCTTTTAATACAGCTGTCCCTCCAGCTTAAGGTAAACCAAATGTTGCCATCGGAGATTAGTGTACCTTGCCTGGTTATTAGCGACCCCCCCCCATCCCGTCACACACGCGCGCACGCACACACACACTCACGTGCACGTCAGAAAATGTCTCTAAAGCCGCTCTCTATGGCTGGCATTAATTTGAGAAAGAGAGAGGAGAGAGGGAGAGAGGAGGGAGGAGGACGGGGGGAGAAAAGTGTTGCAACTTGATCTCCTTCTGCACCTGTTGGGAAACAGTGTGAGTGTGTTTCACGGAGGATTGTGAGTGTGTGTATGAGTGTGTGTGTTTGGGGTTTAGTGCACTCAGAATTTCCTCACAGGAATTTTAAGGACAGCCATTGAAAGTGACGACATTTTGGCTCATTTTCACTCCAGGAGAGGAGAAGAAGACGCTGAAAAGACTCATGAAAACACGCAAAAGCTCCACTCGCCTCTACTGAACGTAAATTATTGACATTTTAGTGCATGTATTCTTCTTTAACTTACATAAATAAAGAAGTGACCGAAAGATAAATAACTCTAAATATTAGAAATAATGATCCAAACATGTTAAAGTTAGAAATAAAACACCTAAAGTGAGCTCAGATTAAAGAGAAAAGTCTCATATTTCACGTAAAAATGAAACAAAAGTGCTCAAAAATATCAAATCTGTAATAAACTCATAGAAATAGAGCACTCAGATCAAACTACACTCTTTAAAATCTGCTTTAGGTCACTCTCCAGTCTTTACCTGAACATCTGTCCAGACTCATCCGTCAGCAGATCTGCCAGATGCCCTCATACCTCCACACCCTGAGGAGGAGGAGAACACACTCTTAGCTCACACACACACACACACACGCGCGCACGCACATACACGCGCGCACACACTTCCTCACACTTGGCATCTCATGTCAAATATTATGTGACCTGCTGTGAGCTCTGAGACAAACATTAGAGGAACTAAATACTCCAGACTAGAGAAACTCCTGCTAAAGGACTGAAGCTGCTGTGGAGAATCTAACTGGTCCAGGAGGAAACTTCCACTGGTGTCCCAGCGTGGATGGAGGAGGTTCACACCAGCAGACACACGGCTGTAAAAATAGAGTTAACTGACCTGTCGACGGATTCCAGTGGAGGTCCACCAGGACAGACCAGGTCTTCACAAAGAGGAGGTCAATGAAGACCCTCAGCCGCCATGAGGACTGAAGATGTTGATGTTGACACTGAAGGTGAGCTAGCTTTAGCATCCTCAGAGAGAAGGCCCGACACGCAGCGGGTTTAGGGGGTGATTACCTGGGCTCAAACCCCGGATGTTTTCTCAGAGCCCCGGATGTCGGATCCGAGTTTAATGTGCAGTACTTCAGTTCACCAGAGTGTCAGCCTGTAGCCCTCCTGTTCAGGTAAAGAAGTGTGTCCCTCTAGTAACTGTTAACACTCCTCTACTCTCCTGCCAGCGACTAACGACGAGTCAAACGCCTCCGCGGTAATTTTAACCCATTTATACCGGGACGCATGTCCGCATTTGAATCGTCCAAGTCGGGAGTGCGGAGACGCCATTTTGTAACATTCTGTCGTTTTTCGGTCATGACGAATCAAATCATCATACCGCCATAACACTGCCTCTGATAGGATAATAAAGATCAATAAAGTGATCGGATTCATAATTGGATCTTGCTCAGTGCTTCGTGAGGAAAGTAAACAATGACAGAGGCAGAGCGAGTGAACAACCTCTTCATAAAGACCTTTTTCACAGTACGTGGAAGTTAGCATTCAACTCACTTCCGGTGTTAGCGTGTGGTGGAGCCACTTAGCATCGCCCATAGACGGCCATTCATTTTTCACGATATTAACAAGCTCGCGACTCGTTTTTTTTAAGGTAAGGTAAAATTGTATGCTTTGTGCTGTTTTACTAACTCCTGTTCTTCATAATACTGTCCGGATTTTGTACTTTACTTTTCGGAAATTATGTTAAATAGGTCATTACTGAAGAGCAATGGTTACCATCATCAGAAAATTTCCAGACCTATTAAACATAATTGTCGAAAAGGTCCATTGAAGTCAGTGTTTTCTGTGAGTGTTCATGACTTTGGTGAGCACAGACATGAAGACACTGTCAGTAAAGGCTGCTCCATAAAATATAAGTAAAAAACAGGAGAGTGAAAAGGAGAAAGGGGGTCAAATGGCTATTTGTTACAAACACAATATATCTGGATGTTTCATAAGTTTTATTTGTAAATAGTTATTTTTGTATTTTAGTTCATGAGTGAGTGAAGAGGAAAAGACGGGAGATGACTGATAACATCCAAAAGCAGAAGAGGAGGCATGACAAGACAAGAGGACAGCTCTTTAAAGAGTGAGGAAGACAAAGGAGAGGGAGGAGTGAAGAGAAAGTGAGGGAAAGAAATGAACAGAAATGGAAATCAAACAAAAACAAGAGGAGAGACAGCAGATGAAAGATGATCCCTTCAAAATAAAAGCTCAGAATCAGAATCGCCTTTATTGTCATTGTACACAGTACAACGAAATCTGAGCGCCACTCCCTTTGGTGCAAAGCAATGGTAATAGTAATAATAAATACTAAAGTGAAAGTCATGAAAAAACACAAGATAAATTAAGAATAAGAAAGAAAAAGAAAAGTAAAAAGGCAGAAATATATACAGAATATATCCAAACAGGAATGATATGAAACCCAATAATTGCACAAGTGAAGCCCAGTTTTATTGCACAAATGAAACATCTGAAAATGATACAGCTTGAAAAGGCAGGTTATGAAGCAATCAGCTAAAAAGTTTCAAAATTAAAGCACAGTTTGATAAGCTGCAAAAATGTCAAATTAAAAGCACAGCTTCATAAAGCAGGATATTAGCAGCCAGCTGCAAAAATATCAAAACAAAAACACATTTTAATGAAGCAGGATATTAATCAATCAGCTGGAAAAATTTCAAAATAAAAGCACAGTTTAAAAAAGTAGGATACAAGCAATCAGCCGCAAAAATGTCAAAATAAAAGCACAATTTGATAAAGCAGGATATGAATTAAACAGCTGCAAAAATGTTAAAATGAAAGCACAGTTTGATAAAGGAGGATATAAGCAATCGGCTGCAAAAATTTCAAGATAAAAGCAAGATGAACCATCGTTTGTAAAGATGAGCAGTTTTTCTACCCTCATCTTCTGTCTGTAGAAAAAAACAGACTCCAAATTTAATAAATATAAACTCTGAACGACGTTGATCTCTGGTTTTTGTGTTTTTCCAGGTAAAGACTTCACCATGACTGATCCCTCTCTGTTCTCTCACCTTCAGCGATCACGGTGGTGGGATTCACTCTCAGCTTTATTTGGCGTAAAGCCCCCCAGCTCCAGGAGCTGCTGATGGAGGATCTCAGATGCTATTAAAAACCCCTCTCCTCGCTCACTAGGTGGGCATGAGTAACCTCTTTAAGCACGAGTAAGTAAGAATCCTAAATACTGTGTGACCCAGTTCTCACAGACCCGTGTACTGTAGCTGTCACTGAATCAACCCTCATTTTTCTGAAGACAGCTACTTTTGACAAACAGGGAGGAGAAATCCTTCGCCTGGAGCGTTTGAAGTGAACATGTGAAGATTTCCTCCCAAACCAGATATCCACTGACAACTGCAGCAACATCAAAAAGGAGCAAATTAAAACAAACGATGGACGATTTCCAGGAGGAAGTAGGTGTGTCTTGGCTGACGGAGATGTTTTATACGCTCTGGGCTTTAGAGATATTACCTGATATCTCACTTCCTGTTGGAGTCTGTACAAAAGTCTTAAAGATGAAACTCTAATAAGTTCTCACTGAGGCGGTGACCTTTGACCTCCAACCTCTGCAGCCGTGGACCATGAGAGAAAAGAAAAAAGTGGATTTTTACATCACAGCTGAGTTTGCTCCCTTTTACCTCCAGATGAATTTAGTCTGAGTCGATAAATGAAGGTAAAACACGCCGTTTATTTCTGACACACAAAAACACGCTTCACCGACTGATAATTGACCATAATACTTCACACACACACGTGCACAACAGGAGGGTCAGAGAGAAACCATCACACACTCAAACTGATAATTACCGCCGACTGACAGCGGTGGCGTGGATCGATGTGGAAGAATTCGCTCGAGTAATTAGACGGCGTGGTCTGAGATGAGGTCCAGGACCGCAGAGATGAGTGTCATAAACGAAGATCCAGTTTTTAAAGTTTGGAGGGAAGCAGCAGGAGGAGGTCCAAGTTGGAAATGTGGACCAGGATCAGGGTTTTGGCTCCTTTAAGTTACCTGCAGGACTTTTTCACTTTTTAACTCGACAAACTCTGAAAAAGTTAAAAAACGGTTTGTGTTTCTCGGTCTGGTTCCAGTTTTTGGACTTCTTTAGGCCATCAGAAAACCGACTCGTCTCTGCCAGTGTTTTTCTAAATCCCAGCAGAGATGAGAGAGGTTTTCAAACACGCTCGTGGAGATGAAATTCAGATCAAGTATTAAAACTCAAAACTTCTGTTTTTCTTTTTTTAGCTGGGCTGTGAAAAATAAAGTTTACGTTTCTGATTTCTGACTTTTGGACATTTTCAGGGTGAAACTTCTGCAGCTCAGAAATCGTACATTGTTTTAACAACTTTAGTGACTCACTTTGACTCTTCTGATAATCTATATTAGAGCCTCACAGCAGATTAAACTAAAGAACGAATAAATGAGCAACGAAGGAAAAGAGTTTACAAACTTCAGCAGGTGATTTAAGGACCAGATACCAGGAAGTAGATCTTAGGACTTTATTTTGGGGGTTATTCTGGAATTTTTTATGCACAAACTTTCACAGAGATAAATCGATGTTGTATGAACCAAAGCATCATTTTTATTGACTGTATATCTGCTTCAACATCTCAACTCTTTCTTTCTGCACATCCTCAGAAACAAACCAGACTCGTCCTGCACCCTGACGCGGTGAGCTGAGAGGCAGCCGAGGCAGCAGCGGCGGCGGCGGCTCCAGGCGGGTCAGCGGGTTAATCACACTTGACTCGGAGCTCATTGCGATTGTCTGAAACACTTTAGACGTGGAGTGCAGACCTTTCAGCGGAAATCCCATTAACCTGGCGAAAAGAGTGTTTAAACACGGTGAGTGGAGAAGCGATTAGGTTCAATTTGAGATTCCCGCTAAGCAGAGCGTGGTGAGAGAGAGAGAGAGAGTGATTTTAACCCAGACCTGGAGGAGAACTCATCTTTAAGACTGAGTTCAGATTATAAAAGGAAGAGGAGGACACAACGAGGAGGAAAGGAGGGAATAAAGGAAAACATCCATCCCCTCACTACGACGATGATCTGATGAAAACGCAGGAAGTAAAGAAAGGTGGACTGAAGTCATGAAACAGGAAAAAGGTTAGTCAGGACATCAGAAGTGTTTGTTTTAGATCTTTTCCTTCGTTTAGCTTCAGGTGTGTGAAAACTGATCAAAAAGGTATAAACTCCATCTGAAGAGACAAAAATCATCCGGAGAGAAGAGCAAGAAGAAGTGGAGAGAGCAGCAAACTTTCTGATATGAGAGGATGCTTCAGAGCGCGCCGGGTCCCCGCTTCATTTCGCATTGATGCTGAATGTCTAATTCTGGCCTACTTCATCAAAGGAGCGCAGGGTTATGGGGTTAGCGGGGTTATGTAAGATGAAATGGTCAGATATTCACCGTTTGAAAAGAAGAAGTGACATCTGAAGAGATCTCTGAACATCCAACTTTTCAGTGGATGTGAAAAAAACGGCGCTCCAGTTTGAACTTTTCAGTCAGGACCGTCTGAAGACTCTGACAGGACTTTTCCTGACACGAACCGAGCGCTGCTTTAGAGTCTGAAATCCTCGTCTCCTGGTTTCTGATGACTGCTCCGAAATGATGAAACCAGGAGATGATCAGATCGGGATATTTAAGTCCACGTCCTGAAGTGACCTGCAGGAGCGACTTCAGTTTAAAATAAAACTCCCTTTAAAAACTGTGAATTTCTGCTCATGTAAAGAGAGCGTTGAATCGTCATCTTTAAGGTTTGAACCGTCAAATTTTACCTGAATGAATATCCGTGTGACTCCCTCTCTACATCCTCAAAGTGTGTGTGTGTGTGTGCGCGTGTGTGTGCGTGTGTCTGACAGCCTCGACAGTCGGGATGGGCGACTGCCAAGCTGCCTCTAAATATACACAGGGGTCAGTCCGTCTCTGGCAGTTCCTCGGCTTTGTCAGAGCGGCGACGCTTCAGGTTTTCTGATAAAAGAGGCTTTTTCTGCTCGCTCCAGCCGAGTGACAGTTGTGACAGGGGAGAGGTCGCGGGTGTGGGACCTCTGCGTGTGAGCGCGGGGGCCTGACCTGTCGGAGGTTGATAGGCACTGTAGGCGACGGAGGAGGTGGGACTTGTCACAGAGGTCCCCAGATATCCAGGCAGGAGGAGCGAGGTTGTCCTGAGCTTCGCTGCTCGGGATCGGAGAGGGTACACTTTAAAAAATATCTGCAAAAAAAACCACAAAAACAGACTTTAATTAAAAACATCTGTGAAATATTTTCTTTGAAATTTCATCTAAACTCAGAGAGAGAGATTTGGACTAAAAAAGGCAGACGTTCTCATCTTTAAAACTCTGAATTTACAGTTTTTAATATTTTTATAAGCTGAAAAAAACACAAACAGGACTTTAAATACAGAGACAGTTAACAAAGTGAATAAATGTCCTCTCAGATCTGCAAATACGATTAAAAAAACAGGATAATATGAAGAGGAGTGACAATAGAGGTGTTTGTTTTTTACAGTGTGCATCTGTGTGTGTGTGTGTGTGTGTGTCAGCCGAGCATTGATGAACTCAGCACAATGTTGAATGGGACTGTTTTGGCAGCTGAGACAGCGAGGCCGAACCTGCGGGTCAGAGATAAACGGCCCTCGCAGCTCTGAGCCGGCGAGAGGACGTCCCATCAGAGACGAGAGACAGCAGCGGAAAAAACTGACTCGCCGAGGGGACGGAGACGGACGTGAGGTTAGACACACGGGTCTGTGAGGGGAAGGTTGCTGGTTAGAGTCCCAGGCTGGGCGGGGGGACTCTGTTCAATAAAGATATTTGAAGACGGATGCGGCGAAAAATATGGTTATCTTTGAAAACGAAAATAAAAAAGTAAATCTGCAGAATAAAGAAAGCATGACTGTGCACATGTTGGAGATTCCTATCAGTCACCTTCACTCCTAAAAGGTCATCGTTTTGATCTTTTCCCTCGGTTTGAACACGGCGGACATTAATGAACTTGAACCTGCGACGCAGTCACCAGGAAGCGGCCTAATCACCGCGAGGAAACGATAAGGTCGGTGCTTAATGTTTGCAGCAGGAAGCCGGGCGGAGGTGACCGCTCCGTTCAAACACGCAAACCTGCCAAGATTCAATCTGCTCGTGTTTTTCCACTCAAGATGAGAAAAAAAGGCCTTGGAGAATCAGAGAGTGGAAGCTTGGAGCTGCATTTAGGAAGGAAGTGAGGAGAGTGGACGAGTGGAAGACAAAGGTTAGTGAAGAAACGACTGAGCTCAGCAAACCCTCAAAGACGAAGAAGAAGAAGAAGAAACCTCTCTGCATCCTTGACCAAGACAGCTGCAAGGTTGCTTTCTTTTAGCCGTGCGTGACCTCCGACCTCTGCAGAGTGGAGGGGAATTCAGCGTCAGAGTGAAGTTAAGGGCGTGGATTCTGGTGAAAGTTGTTGTTTTTTTGCAGCTAAAGCAAATTTAAAGAGTTTATCTCCCTGAGCTGCAGAACAAGAGAGGAGACAAAGTTCAAAACCTGCTCCTCAAAGTCTTAATCACCGGCACGTGTTTTCCTGAAGTCCTGGACTCAGAGAGTGAGACTCTGCAGTCCACCGTCTGACAGATCACTGATACGAACACAAGAAAGAGGAAGAGACGATTGTTTTCTGAGCTGCACCAAAACCAAACTGAAAGTCCTCTAAATGACCAAAATGTTCATTTTCAGAGGAGTCTGCAGACTGAACATAATGACTCTGGGTGAGAAAGCTCGTCCTCAAGGCTCTTGGATCAGGTTTGAGATGTTTGGTGAGTAAATAAGTCAAAAGTGAGTCGACCTAAAGCTGCATTTCTGATGGTGAAAACTCAAATCCAAACACCTGCACAAAGATCCGATCAGATTCAATCCTGTTTCCTCCACTGTAACCTGATCCTCTCTTCTCTGCAGCACCTTCAGAGCTCTATTACAGGCCCCAGCAGCTCCGAGGTACAAATAAACCTGAGCGTGTCGCGGCTGAAAAACGGCGTACCTGCAAAGCAAATCTCCTCTCTGTAAATAACGGTGTGAAAAAAAGCCGAGCCCAGTGTGCGGCGAAGAAAGAAGCACAAACATGTTTAGAGGAATAATCTGCCTGCCACGCCGGCTGCATTACACCTTTCATCTCGGCGTTACAGAGAGTGGATTTGGCTTTCCATCACGAGGACAACACAAACTAACTCTGCGAGAAAGGAGCGAGCGGTTTGATCTTCCCCGTGGAGAGCGGCCGCATCCGAGCAGTTAGCAAAATGAATTGAATCAGCGGGATTAACGGCACCTGTAAAGACCTGTCAGGTAGATTTACAGGCCCCGCTGATAAGCCGGCGGCGAGGGATAAATACGCCTGCTGTCCCGCCAGTCAAAGGGAAAGCGTCCCCCCTCCTCTCTCTCCTCCCCCGGGAGCAGCAGACACCTCCACCTTTGATAAGGTAATAACATCAGTCCTGACTCGGCTGCAGAGGTGAAAGCTGACTGCAGGATGGTGCAGACACGCTTTCAGGCTGATGAATGCAGTCAGAGCAGGACGGGCGTGTGTGTCGACGCCTGTTTGTTATCAAAGGTGAGCACACACACTCGCTGTCAGAGGGTTCGAGGCTCACATCACCGACATGTCTGCTGTTTGTTGAATGGTTTCGTTTTAAAAAGTACCTGCTAACTGCTGCAAACTTTGAAGAAGTCAAACTCAAAAACCTTCTGGTCCAATCCTCTGACCTCTCACTCAAAACAGACCCTCCCTCAACTATTAATCATCTTTTTGCAGATTCCATCCTGGTTTTTAAAGAAGTGATTCAAAACTTTAAGATCAGGTCCAGATTCAGAGAAACGAACAGAACAGGAACTTTGTGGACTCTCTGCAGACTCCCTGATCATCAGCGAGTCTTGGATCCTGTGCAGCCTGTTGTGAGTTCCCCTCACATGTGCGGGAGTACATCCTCCCCGAGCTCACATCAAACCTTCACCTCCTCTCACAGCTGGACCTGCTCTTGTGTGGCCGACCTCGCCGCCTCTCACCTCACAAAGCGTTATTTCTCCGCCGCAGATACGACTCGATGAAAACGTATTAAGGTTGTTTTATGCATCAAGGGCAGAGACTCACCTCCGCGCCGGCTTTAATTGGAAACATCAGTGCGGTACGTTTACAAGGAGGCCGTAAAAAGCTCTCCTGGCTGCTGTGACTTGACGCAGCGCAGGAGGGTTTCATGTCCTGCTCTGTTTGTTTAAGCGCTTTATGACGGTCAGTTACCGAGTCCACTTACCGCCGCAGATTTATGAGTGAAGCTTCCTGCAGGAGAAACTGAGATGCGACAAGCTGGGTCCGCGCGGGGCGATCCAGGTCCGAGTCCGGTGTCGGCATGTAGGCCAGGTCCCTGGTGGACATGTTCTCACGCTGAGGTAATCCATGATGTCAGCGCGTTGAGCTGCAGGTGGAGAGCGGACACTGGTCCTGGTTCTTCTGCACGTGTTCGCTCTCTCGCTCTAAAGGACAGAAAAAAAGGAAACTCTATTTTTATGGCTGTCAGGTTCGCCGTGTGACCGACTGTTTACACGGTTGTTGGGCGTCTTTTCCGGTTGGACGGCTCCCAAGTCGTCGCTGCGGGCCAAAATGTGATGTTTTGTTTTTCCTCGGGATTTGAAAGCGAAGGTGATGTCTCATAAGTTTGAGATTTATTTGGGCTTTATCGAGGGAGGCAGAGTGAAACTCGTGGAGTTTGAATATGACACACAGCCAAGAGTGTGAAAATCTGAGCGATGTGAGAGAGCTTTATAATGTTTCACTGACAGCTCCATAACAAAGAGTTTGGACCGTGCAGCAGCCACCGCCGCCATGAGCGCCTCCTGCAAGTGCGACAGTTTGGCGTTTCGTTGAAATAAACAGTTAGCACAGATACCCATTCATGCTAACGTTGAAAAAGTGACGCCATGACCTTTAGGACATTTAACTCAAAGCAAAGAGGATGATCGTCTCAGAGAGTCTGAAAACACGCTCAATTCTGCTGAATGTGAAATGACTCACTTTCGGAGTCTGCCCCGAGTGGCCGCTGAAGGAACTGCAGTTTTTGGGACTGGACCATCTTTCTCTCCACAGATCACAGACCCTGAACCTCCCTGACCTCTGAAACAAACAGGAATCCTGACAGAAAGCCACACTTGTGAGTTTTTTATTTCCACTCACACTCTTTTCCCTCGCTCTGCGTCCCGTGGATTTATCCCAAAATAATCACCAAACGTAATAAAAAGTGAAGTTTCATGACAGCGCGCCGTACGTCATGTGAATTAGCAGGTTGCAAAAACAGTCGGGGGGGCTCGGGTTTCACTGGAGGCTGCAGGATGAGTACCTGTGCGTGTTTTAAAGTTTAACATCACCAGTCCTCCAAAGATCCTGGATCTGACACCCGGGTAATTCCACCGGAGCATCGCTGGCACCGCCGCGCTCTTCCCTTTCAGAGCTATACGGCGAATGTTTACCCATATTCCCCGCTGGTGTGGAACACTATATATCTGTGAGAGGTAATGTTTTTCAAAGCCATGACCAAATGTGTTTGGATTGGCTGCAGAAAGCTCCTTTAGATTTAACACAGGCTTCACAGGCTGATAGCTTGTCCCAAAAAATATATTCCATGAGCAAAACGGCTCCCAATAAAGGAGTAAATTTAATGAATATTTACACAAGGCTGGATACATGTCAGAGTCCCGAGCGGGGACTCGGACCGCTCTGCTGTGCAGGATTTCAGGAGAAACTCGGCGTGTGTGGTAAAACGTGAGAGCAGGGACGAATACGAAGTGTTTTTTAACCCTCGGTGTCATTTTGTCATCTTTACTTTGAGCTGACAGTCACGTTTGTACAGATTAGGGTGTCAAATGGGTGAGAGTTCTTATTCTACTATATATATATACATATAAAAAAAAAAAAACACGTTTCACACTTTATCAATAAATACAAGCCTTACGACACGGCGCACAATAACTCGTATAAAAAGGGTAATACATCGAATTTTTTAATTTATTATTTCTTTAATAGTCCGGGATGAAGTTGTTGAAGGGATCTGAGTCAAAAAAAAAAAAGGTTAAAAATGATTATTTTATGAACTCTTATCTGCATGTCTGTTTTGGGGACAGAGTCGGGTGGGTGGAGCTAAAATACAGAAATTGGCTCTACAAAAATTTTTTAAAAAGCACCAAAATCGATTTTACTTCTCATCATTGACATGGCCCAGACTCTATTTATTAAAAAAAAATAGTCTAGGTCATTATTTTATGGGAAATGTGGCGCTCTTGTGTCAGCTGGACGGAGAATCAAATGAACAGGAACCAAGAGTGAAGTGTTTCTGCAACATCTCAAACTTTAAAGTCGTCATATTTTCTTTAAAGTCGACTCACCAGGACAGGACTCGCTCTTCTCTGAGACCTTCTGTCCATCAGAAACCCTCCTCTCCTCCTCCCTTCTCCGTTGGTCCTCTCCCTCCTCTGTCGCCCAGGTGATTCTCCTGATTACTAAACGAGGTGCACCTGGTCGTTGATGTGCTACCTTCAGGGAGCGGAGGAATAAGGACCGCTGCTCTGCTTCCATTCTTCAATACGATCCTGAGTTCAAATTTAAACGCTTCAGTTTTTCCTGAAACAAGAACAAAAAACAAATCTGTTAGTTTTCAAGTGTTGAAGGTGTTTTCTGTCTTTTTGAAGAAGACTTCTTATCCTCAGAAGTGTCCGTGTTTTCCCGTATTATTATTGTTACAGGTATAAAACTGAAGCTTTTCTGTGAACCTCTCTGCTCTCCTGACTCTGAATTTACACCGAACTTCACAAAAACTCAAATGTCCGAGTCAAGAGGATCTAACTCAGCTTCTGTGATGAAATTCGGAAGCCGACTGGAGTGGAGTTGACAAATTATGACAGATTTACACGATTAAGAGTAGAGACGGCTTTGCGAGTGTTTCAGATTACCAAAGGTCCCCTGGTTGTTCCAGAGACTTGTGTAAAAAGGGATTATGTCACTAAAATAAGCAGAAATTCATGCTTTTAAGAGAGGCTGCGGCTCAGAGACGAGGACAGAGTCGGTTTTATGCAGCAGGTGTGTTTTTACTGCAGCAACAGGTAGAAAATAATGAGTTTGACATTCAGACCAAAGCTGGAGTCACGAGGCCTCGCTGTCTTCTTCCAGACCAGATCCACCTCGTCGGAGTGTGTGATCATCTTTGTCTCGTTCTGAGAAACCAAACCAGATAATTCAACATTTATTTCTGTTTGGGATTGGAAACCAGGACGTTTGCCAGCTTCATCAAACCTGCGATCTCCAAACCCTCTGAGCGTGGAGCGTGGTTGGCGCCCGCGCTGACGAGACGCCGAAGCTTTGAAATGCAGATGTGGAGGGCCTATCGACTGTCACCTGTGTGAAGCACTTTAACTCCTGTCGCTGAAATGAGCCTGTTCAAGAGGCGCTTTGTGATGCGTATCGGCCGACAAGGCAGATTGGTGATGATTGCTCCATTGTGGCTGTCAGCGAGCGAGAACAAGGTATTCATCCTTTGTCAGAGCGACGTCTCCTCTCTCATCTCACCAATGAGACCCCCCCTCACCCTCCTCCTCCTCCTCCTCCTCCCCCACCCTCTTAACCTCTTGTCTTGATTTGGAATTACAGCTCAAAGGCTGGTTTACCGGCGCCGCCTGATACCGTTCATGCTGATGAGGAGAGCTGCAGAGACGTGTTTGTTTCCACTCAGCCGTCAGGAAGCGGATTTATGAGTCTATATTTCACTTTTTTTAATGCAAATCCACAGAATTTCTGCAGCTTGAGAGGAAGACAAACCGCAGCCATTGTTTTGGAGTGTGGTGAGGTGGTTTTCAAACACGATGTTAAAGTATTTCTCTCTTCTCTAAGTCAAGTTTCAGGACGCTCTCCCGTCAAAGTGGACCTGTTTTATAGCGTTGGCGTTGAGGTGATCAGATTTGTAAATCTCTGGTTTGTTTCCTGACGTCAGACGGAGGTGCGTCTCGTTAAAGCGTCCTCCTCTGAATAAAGGCGCTCACTTATAGCTCCTATAGTAGCTCATTTATTCGCTGACACTAATGCTGCTGCTGCTGCGCGCTGTGTCCGTGTTGTCTCGGCTGTATTTCCCCCTTTTTCTCCCATAATTCAAAGTGAAATACTTCCAGCCATTTGACACAATTAGGCGCTCTCTTCCCACCGCATCGCATCCCACTGGATGGCCCTCATTATCACGAGCCCTCGCCTTTTAGATAACTTATAATGAGGCCGAAAATGTTTCACATTTTGCTTTTTCTGTTACACCGTCGGTTCAAAGAGACCTACTTCAACCTAATTAGGAGTTCCAACCGCCGCAGTCAAACGCTCCTCTTGTTTCTTATGAGGTTAACAGCGCTGAGATGTAGATTTCCAGGAGACAGGGTCTGAAGCCATTATGTCCAACGTGTGACAGATATCAGTGAAGTCCAGGTCCTGCTCCACCACAGTAATGGTCTACTGTACTCGGAGCGAACGCAGAGCTCACATCTGCAGATCAGGAACTCCACTTCTTCTTTTCTTCTTCTTCTTCGTTGGTATGAACAGCTGAGCTCCCAGTGTTCCCCGACGCTCCACCAGGGACCATATATCCTCATTGTGTCCGTTTAATTGTCTTCCCATTTGTATCGAGCACCTGGTTGGAGGTTCTGGATGTGCACAAGGTCCCTCTTGGAGCTTCTTGGATGGAGCGCAGAAAATGTGAAGCATGAGGGAGTTCCCTCTTACAGAAATGTTCGAGCAGAGCTGACTGAAAGGAAAAAAAAAAGAAATTTTTTAGACATCTGTGTCTTCAATTTTCAGAGTTAATGCTTTTAGCCAGTGTCTATAAACAGAGAATCAGGTTCAAAACTTCAGAGGACAAACTCTGCAGAGCTCAAACTCAAGGTGAAGGTGCAGAGATCCTCACAGATTATAGGAAACTTCTCATGGAAGTCATCCTCCGAAGAAAGGAGCTGTTCTAGAGCTCTTCTACACCTTTGAGATCAGCAGGAGATGAGTTCATCATCCGTGAAACCCTGAGTCAAACTTATCCCCAATTTTCACCGCATCTGGAACGGCAGCGATTTTCGCTGTCCGACAAATTCTACCAGTTCTGTTTCATCCAATTGCGTGATAACGGGTTGTCTCTTCAGCCACAGAGGCTGACCATATAAGCAGTAGATTGTGTCCTTCCAGAGGAGAAAATCTACTTTTAGACTTCTAGAATCAGCATCTCCTCATCCATGGTGTCATCGGGGTGAAATGACGTCTAAAAACCTTTCACTTGTTCGTCTCCGCCTGTTTGCATGGTGTGAAATACGATCCTCCTGAAACACGGAGTGTTTTATTTTGAAAAGAAGACGGATGTTTTATTTTGTGTCTGTGCCCGACTTCCTTTCCAGCAAAAAAATAGAACTCTTGTGATCAGCTGAGGAGTCCGGCGATCTGCAGAGGAACGGAAAGAAGTCGGTGTAAATTGACACGTTAACTTGAATGGTTCAATCAGCTACGATCGGAGGATACCACCTTTTAGGAGACGATCAGGATGTGGTGTAAATTTGGGGTTAGAACAGAAAATAAACTTGAAGTTAGTTTGCGGTGAAACGAGGGTTAGCCTCCATGTTACCTGGTAAAATGAAACTTTAAGGTTTGAAGATGTGAACAAAAACTGCAAACTCATGTCCTCCTATAAAACCTCCTCTAAACCGTCTCTCTGCAGCTCTCGGGACCCTGCAGATCCACCAGGCTGTCCACTCTGATAATTACAGGGACGGACTCGACCCCGCGACCTCTGCTGACCCCCCACGATTCAGCTTTCCACTCCAGTAAGTCGTAGGTGTGTTTACTGGGCGCCAGCTTGTCCCTGTTAATAATACGAGCGCTGAACCCTGGACCTCACCTGACTATAGCATCTGGGACAAGAGCCAGCTCAGTGTGTCGGTGTGTGCATGTATGAGTGTGTGTGCACATGTGTGTGTGTGTGCATGTGCATGTGTGTGTTTGTGTTTCCTTTCCCATAATCTTGTTCCTTTTGCAGAGCCCGGAGCCTATAAAGCTGTCAGTGAACGTGTAGGACACGTCACCTTTGCTGGGGTTTCTCACACACACACACACACACACACACACACACACACACACACACATGCACAGAGCACTGCTGCGTTATCAGACACACACACACACACACACACACACACACGCTGAAAAAACTGCTGGTACACATGCACAAAGGTATGAGCGCACAAAACAAATAAAAGATGCCAGAGAATCACACACACACACACACACACACACACACACACACACACAGAGCTGCCGTCAGATATTCACACAGTGCTGCAGAGAGGTCCAGATAAACACACAGCATTAACCTCGGCAGATTACTGTGTCTCCCTGTAATTCGTTCACTTGGACGGCTGACAGTTTAAAGAGTCGTTCAGTGTATTAAAAATCACGAGTGTTTACACGCCGCAGCGATCTGACGTGATGTCAGCGAGTAAACAGACCAACCAGGTTCCTTTATTTCCTCCGTCTGCACAGCTGGAACTCAAATCCACCTTTTTCTGCTTTGATGGTAAAAACAGAAAATGGTGTTTGAGGTGAATCTGAACAGATGTGAGCTCTCTGGATCAGATTTACTCCTCTCCGGGGACGTGTTGACGCTTTAGGAGCCGTAGAGAAAGAGCAGCTCTGAATGATGAGCGCTCCAACCGGAAATGTATCCACCTATCTACACCTGAATATGACTGCTGCTCCACCTGTTAGGACCATTACTTCTGTGGGAAATCTATCACACTGCTTTCAAAGAACCTTTGTAAGAACATTTACATGTTTAAAATTAGATTTTTTTTTAATGTAATCTCGTTATTCGGGTCATTGTTTCCAAACGCCATATTGTGATGCAGAATGGACAACTGTTCCCAGGATTGAGACCCCCAGAGGACCTGAAAACCCCAGATTCACCATCTGTGATCGTGCCATTAGATTAATGAAGTTTTCAAAACAAAGTTACGTAAAATTCAAGCCTGTCTAATCCTGTCAAAACCTCCATTAAAGGGTTAAAAACCAGGTGTCGAACCTGCATCAGTCAGTGCGTTTACAAGGGACTCGAGAAAACCGAATTATCGCCTTACTCCGATTAAGACCGGACGACTGAAGGTCATGTAAACATCTTAGTTTATAATCGGAGTTTGAGAACTTCGATTACGACACCCAGATAATGTGATTGGAATTCGATTTTCTCTACCATGTAACCAGCATAGTCGGAGTATGATCAGACAGTGCATGTGTGTGCGTCTCTATAACCCCGAAACAAAAACACCAGAGGAGAAGTGGTGCTATCATTTAAGAACTTTGACTCAGAAGCAACAACAACAGCTGAATCACGAAAGAACGCCCACTTTTGGGACGACAAGGAGAGCGCCGTTATGCTCTCCGTCCTGACAGAAGCAGACATTTTAAAGTTTACGGACGGTCACAAAACTAGGACAGAGACATCTTTAAAAAAAGGTCCAGAGACAGCGCCGCTGAAAAGACCCATCCATATCGCCCCCTAGATTTGGGGAGGA